CGCCCGATCCATCTGTTTCTACCTCCTCAATACTGGGATTATAAACAAGCCCCACCACAACTTAACATATAAAATTTGCAAACAGTAATTTCATCTTTTTTTTGTTGTTGTTTTTGTTTTTTGTTTTTCGAGACAGGGTTTCTCTATGTAACAGTCCTGACTATTCTGGAACTAGCTCTGTAGACCAGGTTGGCCTCAAACTCACAGAGATCCTCCTGCCTCTACCTTCCAGTGCTGGGATTAAAGGTGTGTGCTATGGATGTATTTTTAAAAATATTCAGATACCAGACCAGTAAACTTTTTTTTTTAAATTTATTTATTATGTGTATAACATTCTGCTTCCATGTATATCTGCATACCAGAAGAGGGCACCAGATCTCATGATAGATGGTTGTGAGCCATCATGTAGTTGCTGGGAATTGAACTCAGGACCTCTGGAAAAGCAGTCGGCGCTCTTAACCTCTGAGCCATCTCTCCAGCCCCCTAATTTCATCTTTATTTCTTTTAAAAGTTGTGTGTCACCTCCTGCACTCAGGAGGTAGAATCAAGACCAGCCTGGTCTACAGAGCAAGTGGGACAGTGAAGGCTAATACAGTGAAACCCTGTCTCAAAACAAGACAAAATAAAAAGTTGTGTGTGTCTATTTTAGTGCATGCCACCTATACTGGTACCCACAGTATCCAGAAGGCGGCGTGGCTGGATCCCCTGGATCTGGAGTAAGTCAGTTGTGAGCCACACCACATAGTGTTAGGAACTTGGGACCTGTGAAGGGCTACAGAGTGACAGCTTGTCTCAAATCTCTTAAGGGGGCCAGTGAAGTGACTAAGTAGTGTATGCCCCTCAATGATACAACCCTGAGTTCAAACCCTGAGTGCTGCAATTAAAGGCATGCACCACCACCACCCAGCAATAAATAATACTCTTAAAAATACTCTAGTCGGGCTTTGGTGGTGCATGTCCCAGCACTCGGGAGGCAGAGGCAGGCGGATCTCTGTGAGTTCGAGGCCAGCCTGGTCTCCAGAGCAAGTGCCAGGATAGGCTCCAAAGCCACAAAAAAACCCTGTAAAAAAAAAAAAAAAAAAAAAAAAAAACACTCTAGACTAATGATGTGAAGAAAAGTCTGGATTCAAAGTCAAAAGGAAAATTCATTTTGGGGTTACCTCTAACATTATGGGGCTACTGCCATACAGTCAAGAAAACATTTTCATAGACCACCCCAAGATCATCAGAGAGAGCGGCATCTTCAACTACCTAACCTCCCCGTAGAATAGTCGGATAGCCTGAAAGCCAGGTAGCCAAGCCCTGGCTCAGTTATCTGATAGCCTGTGTACCTCCACAGAATCTCTCTGCATGCCAAGCCAAAACTCCTAAGTTATTAAAAACTGACTTAGAGGCCGGGTGTTGGTGGTGCACGCCTTCAATCCCAGCACTTGAGAGGCAGAGGCAGGTGGATCTCTGTGAGTTCGAGGCCAGCCTGGTCTCCAGAGCAAGTGCCAGGATAGGCTCCAAAGCTACACAGAGAAACCCTGTCTCGAAAAACAAAATAAATAAATAAATAAATAAAAATAAAAAATGACTTAGATATTAATATGCCTACCAACAGTTTTTTTTTCCCCCTCTAACAACATCATTAAGTTCTTTACATTTCATCCCCTTTGGGTTCTAAGACATGGTCTTACTCTATAGCCCAGGCTGTCCTTGAATTTGCAGTTATCCTTAGCCTCCCAAGTGCTGGAACTACAGGCATGAGCCACATCTGTCTTATGTTTCACATTTCTCAATGTCTTTGTTGCTGCTGTTGTTTTTGTTTTTCAAGACAGGGTTTCTCTGTGTAGTCCTGGCTGTGCTGGCTCAGGCTGGCCTCCAACTCAGAGATTCGTCTGTCTCTGAGTCCTGGGATTGAAGGAGTGCAACATCACCACCTGGCAACATTTTCAATATCTTGCCATAGATAAGGCCAGTAAACACTTGCTGGGCCTAGAGGTGTAGTTCAGTGGTAGAGCACTTGCCTAGCACTCATGAAGCCCTAAATTCAATCCCAAACACTGGTGAAAGGAAAGCAAAGGCTGACATGTTCCAAACTTTAGTCTATGAGGTTCTTCCAGCTCCAAGACTAGGGAGCAAGAACACAGGAAAGCTTGAGATGCTGTCTTCCTCAATGCCCTGGCCTTGTAAGTTAGGCAAATGCAATGATTCTGTATTTGATCACCACATAAATAAGAATTAGATTTGAAATTTAGAACAATTGCCCAAACATTCAGTGAAGAGTGCTGCCTCTTCCTTGCAGAGCAGTTCTCCAGATCTACCAGTGGACTTCATTTTGACTTGGAAAGCCCCATGCGCTCTGATCCAAAGCATATATTCTGAGACAGTCAATCAACCAGAACTCTGCCAGCCTCTACTTGGGAGCTGTGTGAAATACAGTTAACAAGAGCTTACTTTGAGAAAGAGATCAACAATCACACTCTTAAAGAAAAGAAGTTGTTTGGCAAAGGGATGCATGTTGCCAAAATGTTAGTCACAGCTTCAAGGTCCCAGTTGGTGTCTCTGCAACTATTCTTTGCTTTGACAGAGTCCATTCTCTGGCTCAAGAAACCCAGCTCAGCTTCTGTCACCCTCCGCATTTGAAGCAGTCAAGAATCCTTTCATTTTGGTGGCATCAAGCTGTGACACAGACAGGATGCCCACTAGAAGAAGGGGGAGGGTGACTTGCCACTTTCCGTTTAGGACTAGTTGAAGCAGAGCAATGGGAAAATGTGACAGGAAAGGAAAAACTGAAAATCATTGTGCTAAAGAAACAGGCCACTGTAGCAGCTCCGAGCTTCTGTGATAGCAAAACCCTTTTAAGAATAAACCAAAAAAATTTGTTGATGGTGGCACTCTCCTTCAGTCCTACCTTGGAAGGCAGAGGCAGGTGGATCTCTATGAGTTTGCGGCCAGCCTGGTCTGCAGAGCAAGTTCTAGGACAACCAGGGCTACAGAGAGAAACCCTGTCTCAGAAAACAAACCAAACCCCAGCAGCACACAATTACACAGATTTTTATCTCCAAATATGTGCACATACTTCATGCCTGCAGCTCCTCCTGGAGTTGGTATGAAGACTAAGGTTTGCTACAACAGCCTGAACTAACAGTCCATGAACTTCAGAATTACTTGAGGGCAACAGGAAAAACACAAGTGTGCCAGGAAGCAGTTCAGAAGGCTAAAGTCAAGCAAGAACATGTGATGGTATTCCCTCCAACAGATCAGGATCCCTTTTCTTAGCCTCTATAGCTACACTCTTCCCAATATCCTTCCCCTCCTGCCTCTCACCCTTGTGTCCACATCACTAATCAGCACCACCCCATGTAAACACCATTTCTGATACCAAGAGTGAGACAGAATTCATACTGCCAAGTCTTTGGAGAATCCACATCAGAACTCAGAAATGCTAAGACTCTCAGAAACACTTCTAGGCTGAACGAGTTCACTTACCAGCTAAGTGTTCAAGGTAGTACAGCCAAAGAAAAAACTAAAACAGAATGCCAAAGGACTGACAACAAAGCATCTAATACTGTCTACAAGCATGGTCTCTACCCTCTGACAACAAGGCCACAGATACTGACTGAACCAAGGCATGCATACAGCTCACCTCTCTAAAATACTCAGGTACTTAGAAAATAAAACACTGCATTCTCAGAGTCACTAACAGCTGAACTCATTCACTTCCGACTCTAATGTCCATATCTTCCTCTTGGTGATAAACAACCCAGTAACACAAAAATCTCGACTATTAAAAATATTAAGATATAGGAAGATGTTAGAAGACTAAAGGTTATATATTAAAATACATAGAGATGCTGGGCAGTGGTGGCACACATCTGTAATCCCAGCACTCAGGAGGCAGAGGCAGGTGCTTCTGTGAGTTCAAGGCCAGCTTGGTCTACAGAGTGAGTTCCAGTACAGCCAAAGCAACACAAAGAAACCCCGCCCCCCCCCAGAAACCCCCACTAAATAGCAGTATCTCGATCCTGTTTTTCTTTACACTGACTTCAAAAATCAAATTAGTTAACTCAATCTTCTAGGGAAACAGATGGGTCAGGCCTATATTACTGAGGAAGAGAATGAGAGTTTAATGATGTCTCAAAGTTACATATCAATCTATACAGGAGCTAGAGGACTTCTTATTCCCTAAAATTCTCTTCTGATTCATAAAAAGATAAAAGAGTAGCTAAAAAAAAAAAATTAACAAGCCAGAAGACAGAACTCCAAAGCAAAAGTAATAGAAGAAAAAAAAGGAGTGGGCCCGGGAAGTGATCAACCTAGTACTAGTCAAGTCACTTTAAAAATATGAGTTCCGGCTGGGCGGTGGTGGCACATGCCTTTAATCCCATCATTCGGGAGTTCGAGGCCATCCTGGTCTACAGAGTTCCAGAACACCCAGGGCTACACAGAGAAACCCTGTCTCGAAAAAAAAAAGAAAAAGAAAAAAGAAAAAAATCAAAGAATTGCAGGGCTCGGGCGCAGCACAGAGGCAGAGCCTTGCCCAGCATACAGGGGGACCAGGATTCAATCCCCAGCAAGGGGGTGGAAGGTCGAGTCCAGTACCCACCATCTTCCTTCAGCTTCTCCTTCCAGAATATGCCTTCCTAACCATCCCCAGTCAGCAACTCAACCGCACACGCAGCCTACGTTTAGCACCTTCAGATTTCCATAGTCCCTCATAGCACACGGCTCCTACAGGAGCCTCCAACTCAGGTGCTTCCAACCGCATCTGAGACACCTCTCCGACTCCCTCTCTCCCACCCAACACCCTCAAGATTTCCTCCAACGTAAACAGCTTCCCTCCCAGCCATTCCTTTTCACCTAAAATCAATTCCGAAATGTCACATCGGCCTCCTCCACTCAGAGCATCCCGCGTTTAATAATTACCTTTCCCAACAGGTCCTCCCTCCCGTCCCCATCTCCCCCTCTGCGCACGGTTCCCCTCCCTCCTCACCCAGAGTGGCCGTCTTGCTCACCTCACCCAACCCTTCAGGGTCTCTAATTTCCTGTCTCGCAGAAACCTCCCTCCTGCCCATTGGCACCGGCCGCACGCCACCGCCCTCCACTCGGACGGCCCACGCCCCCTCCCCGGGGTCTCCAGGCTCCGCCCCCAGGCCCCCTC